ACGGGGACGCCTTTTACAGCTGCTTTTTGTATCTCTGCTTCTGTCCCCTTGAGCCCCAGTCGGCCTCGGCAGATGGCCGCTCACACTGAGCCTGGTTCTACTGGAGGTTTCTTCCAGTTAAAAGGGAATCTTTCCTCTCCACTGTCGCTACAAACATACTGAGTGTGAGGGATTGCATTTGAGTCAATGAGCAATGCAATCAACTGTTTTTCCTTAGATAGAAAACTTTGACTGTATGATCTGGTGAACTGTAAAGTTCCTTAGGATGACATGTGTTGTAAATTGGCGCAATATAAATAAACTGAATTGAATTGAATAGGTGTCAAACAAAAATATTGTATTCAAATCTCAAGATGGTTTCTGCAAAGAGTTTGTACATTCTCCAGCTGCATACACGGGTTCTCTCCAGGTACTCTTTCTTTAATGTCCTATCACTATCGTTAGGTAAACTAACTCCTCTAAACTGCCCTAACGTACAAGTATGATCTTGCAGGTTTTTTTGTTTTTTTTTTATCCTGCCCTCTTTATCCTTTTTTTTTTTATCTTGCTAATCGCCCAAATGGACAGATGAATATAGTCCCAAAGAGCCAAAGGCTTTTATTTTTTAAATGTACTTTACATCCTGTTGTCCCTTGAAAATTATTTATGACTTGATGTAATCTTATCTCACATGGTGATTTCCTCTTACAACTTTACATTTCCCAGTTTTCTACCTTTAATACATTTCCACTGACTTTAGACAAACTGTCCTAGGACAAGAATACCAAAAAATAATATAGAAAGTATTTTCTACGACTATAATTAGCCGGAATACCCGATATCTTATCTCATCGACCAATTTTATCTCACAGTACATAGAACAGCTCAGTATTTTAGGAATGTTGACTGTCTGCTATTCAGACTAGTTGATACTAAGAATAGACATTTAGCCTACAGAACAGATCCATTGTGCGTCAGTTCCATGATCTAGTTGCTTTATGGTTTCATAAGACAAATTTAAAGATGACATTGCACATTGAGTAAAGGACCAGGATAAAAGAAAAAAACAAATCAAAACAGCACATCCTTGCTCAGAATAACTTTTACTTGTTTTACTTTACAAATAGATCTGAGTTACATACATATTCAGTACAAAGAAGATGGCAGGATTTTCACCCGACTGAATGGCGACTGCAGATCAGAATATAGGCCAGGCTACAAAGACAGCAAATTTCTGGGTTGTGTCCAAATTTAAATAATTTAAGAAAGGAACTACAGGATAATACAAGATGCAACTGTTTTGGCATCAGGTTGGGGAAGCGGTTGTTTACAGTGCAGCTGTTTGTTAGAAGTGATGTCACCAATGACTCACAGAGACTGTTGACAAAGTTTCCTTACTGGAGCTAAGGATGACTTTGTCATTATGGCATGAGGTGGAGGTGCCCTAGGATGGACAGAAAAACAGAAATATACTGCATTTGTTGGCGTGCCTACATATGCACTCAATCTTAGGGTTAAAGGCCACAATGTCTTTGAGGTGATATAACGCAAATCCATTTTTTTTTTTTTTTTTACAACTCCTAAGAAATCTTCCGCAAACATGGACCTATCCTCACATGATTTCAAACAGTATTCCTTGTCTTGGTTTAATGAAACAAAGCATGGCCCTGCCACCATCATACCTTAGGCATGAATGGTGAGTTTGTGGTGACCTGTAGTATATATTCTCTACCAGATTTCTATTTATAAAAGATTTTAATTTCTTAACTTTTACCCAAGAATTGGCAGAAAGGTCAGTGTCTACCAAACAGGGTTGATAAACATAACCCCAAAAGCACCTTAGAGCAGCAATTTGGAAAAAGGTGGTTATTTCCCCCCCCAATCATATACAAGACTCACTAAGTAGACTAGTGGTTGTACCATGATATTGTGGTAAAGTTAAAAGTGAGTAAATTGTCCATTTTACCTTATCAGAAAGCATTGAAAGGGTGCTGATGGTAGTATTGAGACTGAAGAGAAAAAAAAATGCAAACTGTATGTATTTGGCATTGGGTATTAGTAAAATAGCAATAATTTCTACAGACTGCAAAAGGGACTCTAGGTACCGTGGTGCAAGGTAAAAAAAAAAAAATAAAGGCAAATACTGCCCTCTACTGGGGGTTCATCGACATAATAACATTAAAGTACACAACAGGGTTTCAGGCACATAATATATTCAAATAAAAGTACAAATACAGAAAAAATGCATTTAATAAAAAGTTACTTATGCATCTTCTATAACTTAATATAAATTCAAATTGTACCTGTGCAGAGTACAACTACAAAATGAAGTGTTGACAAGCCTCAAAGTGATCTGTTTGAATCAATGAGTCCCCAACTGCGGCAACTATAATACTGATCACTGTTTGTTACAGCATTTAATGCTTTTGAGTGTAATACCTCAACTGGTAATATTAAAAGGCTGATCTTTCTTTACAAAATGTTCAGATAAGAGCAAAATATTGGAATCGGTTACCCTGTCAGGAGACATCAAGTATGCATGGCACTCAGTGCTACAAGTCGTTCTGAAACTGTAGATAAGGAAAGGAAATAGGGACCAATGTGTACCAGCATCATTATGATGATCCAGAATCAAAGACTATCAAAGCTACTGTGCACTGGTAAGTGCATCCCCATACATTGGGTTTAGTTTATGTTTCCTCAGGAATTCTTTATCCCAACTCTCGGACCATTTGGAGAAACTTGCTCAAGTTTTCACCTCAGCAGACATCTCTCATTTTTTTCAGAAGAAGCAAACAGGCTGGTAAATCTTAAAATCTCAGAACTGAGAGAGTTTAGCAGGTCTTGTATTTATATTGGGTGGATAGACGAAAAAGAAAAGGCTATACTATATTCCTGGCTTTTACTCAAAAAAAATAGAAAGAAAAAAAAAACCTGCTCCTGAAGTTTGAGCCCTGATCGACCAGGTAACTCAAAACCTGGAGTGGGGAGTCAGCGTGGGATATGAGGAGAGAAACAATGTGGCTCTTTGTGCAAGCGGGGCAGAGAAAACAAACCGTTTCCCCTGGAAAGAGATCATGTTCAGCCTTCATCTGAGAAGACCACACAAGGCTGATCAGAGTGCTGTCTGCTGCGTGGAGTAAAGAGAGTAGGAGGAGGAGCGCATCTGGGTAGTCAAACTAACTTGTGCACATATAAACGCTTGAGGGCAATGTCAGACAGGATGAAGATCCCTTTCAAGCTTTCAGTCAGCTCGATGCAACACTCAAGCCTGTGATACATTTTGGTCCAAGGAAAAAAAAATATGTGTGACTAAGTTGTGTGTTCTTCCACGTTGTTGACTTGTGATGTCTTGGCCATCTGGACAGCTTCCTGGGTTTGCAATCTGCTGGTCTGGCGGGCAGAGAGAGAGGCTGGCAGGCAGGACTGCTAGCTCTGGAGTTGTCCACTTGATGGTATGGTACTTGACATGGCACTGCTGGACAAAGTCAGATAGGGAGTCTGAGGTGATGGAGGTCCAAAAAACAGGAGAAAGAGAAAAAGAGCAGAGAGATGTTGAGTTTCATTTCTACCATATGTATCTTCCAACAAGATCCACAACTCTGGACACTCCTTCCTATTATACCCATTCCACATAAACACTTCGAATGAGGCTTTTAGTCATGTCAATGCTGTTGCATCAGGTACAATCAAACCAAAAACATCTGGCCTCTTTTCTTTCAGACACTTTAATTCAAGCACATATATTAAAGTCAAACACACATATACATGTACGGACCAAACCTGGGCTCTGTACTCCCTCTGTCTCATGCGTTTTAGTTTCAAACACTCAGTAAATACCCATGTGGTGGGATCAGGTTACACGGAGCTATAAAATATCCCAAATAAAGGCAAGGCAAAATGAGATGAAAAGGGGGGGGGGGGGATGGCTTTCTGGTGAAGTGAAATCCTCCAGTTGGCTGCTGACTTATGTCAGAGTGGGTGTTTATTTAAAAATACCTTTTACAGTTGGGACAATGAAGGGGGACAGCAGTGTTTATCTGAGAGGACAGAGGTGGCAACCTTAAGTCATCCACAAACCATAGCCAATACATTCAAAAAAAGACATGAATTTTTTTGGATCATATAAGGCAGAACATTGATATTTCCAATATACTAGTTAGCATTAAATGCCTTATCAAAGTATTTAAGTGCTATTAAGTTTTTCAAATTTACTCACATTATAGCCATACACTTTATCCAATTTTATTTATTGGACAGAAATTAAGAAGTGTATGACTGTAAAATGGGAGGGAAATAATTCAAATAATTTAATTTCTTGTAGGATTTGCACCCATCTTCTCTTCAACGCTGACTAGCTTCCTTCTTTCTGCTGAAAGCGAGCCCATCCACACCATGATACTGTCACCGCCATGCATCAGCATCAGCAATTTCCCTCCCCATAAGCAGTTTCATATTAAGGCCAAAAAAGTAGCCAGTTTCCAGCGCATGCTGCTTCTACCACCGTGTTTTATGATAATTGTCTCGGTGATGCATTGCTAAATTTATACCATAATGGTATTTGGGAGGAAAAAAGGTAAAAACACACTCTTTTATGTTAAAACCTTTATGCAACTTTAAGTTGGTCTTCCATAGTTTTTAAAGGATGTTATTAGGTGTCTATCTGATTTTGCTTAATGTAAAAGTCCCATTAGAGGTTAAAATCTGTGTTCTAGGAATATATCCAATAGAATTTAAACATTTGTAGAGGATAACTAGATTGATAGACTACGGACTTCTTCAAGCCAGAAGATCTGTTGCACTAGGCTGGAGTAGCATGGAAGCCCCTTCCATGGGACTCTGGAGAAAAGAAGTTGCAAGCTCACCCGGACTGGAAAAACTAAGATACATTGCCAAGGGCAAACAATAAGACTTTGAGAATCTATGGGAGCCATATATGAGGATTGTAGGGACTGAAAGTGGAGCTTATTGATGGGAGTTTTGAATGGATGTCTTGACTACAGTTTTTATTCATATATTGCTCCTTTTTTTATGTCTCTGCCTTAATCTAAAGGGCTTTGTATATTTTTGGAACTAGACAAATGCAGGTTTAAATGGTGAATGCATGAGTGAATGTAAGTACATGTTAAAAGGTTAAGTTTGTTGTCTGCAAGTTTTGTTGTATCAAGAGAGAGAAAATTCAATAGAATATATTGGAGAAAAAAGTTGGTCTTCCACATAATATCTCAATAAAGTACAATTAAATTAATAGTTGTAAAGAGAATGAATGTCTTGCAAGGCAATTTTTTAGAAACTTAGTGGAATAATGCTGCCACACAGTCATTTAAAACCTGTGCTCCTAGATTCATGTTGTTCTTTCTCTATTTAGCAGCTGTCACATTCAAACACAATCACTAACACGACCCCTGGCCTTTGGAAAATAATATGAGGAGAAAAACAGGCAGGTTGAAATCGAAGCCATCTCTGTGATATCAGTGGATTAATCTCGGCACATACAGTAAACCAGAAACATGATCTTGTTATGCTGAGATACAGGCGGGTAAGGATAATGGGTAGAGTTACAGCTATTTGGACAAGCGAGTGAAATCAAGATGACCCTTTGATTGGTTCAAAGTAGGAACACTCCCCTGCCAAATTCTAACGAAACAATGTCTTTTGGGGAAAAACATTGAGAGATGATGCAGAAACTGTATTAAAAACCAAGAGTAGGGCACAAATATACTGTATACATGGGAAAATATAAAACATGGCCAGACAGCCATGGTATGCAAATACTGAGGCCTCTACATCAGTCTCTGTTCTTTCTAAAGAAGTGCTTAGCTCTACCACAACTTCAGACAATAACTGATATTCCCAGCACCTCACAGTCTCCCACCACAGCCTATAGAGAGGCCTCATAAAAATCTTTATACCAATTTGAAGTTCACACTTAAAGGAGCATTTCAGGAGGTAGTAGAATCAGCCAGACAGCTAAAGCAAGTTGTCTGAACAAAGATCAGAATTAATCATAGACGCTCTAGAAAACTCTTATATTGAAGATGACACGATTAATTTTTTTCAAATGCTATTTTATACCCTTTAAACGGTCTCTTTGCATTGAAGAGTTATTCAGACTGAGATCAGTGATTATTTAAATGGAAAATAGGGATATAAGGCAATGCTCCATTCAAGATTTTCCAGTGCAAAACATATATTTTAAGAATGAAACGTCTAAAGCTGTCCAATAAACTTTTAAGTTAGTGGTGTAGTAAAAAGGTTATAAAGGTAAATAAACAGTTTAAAGTTTAATAAAAGTGTATTCACACAAAACTGTTTGATGTTTCTTGAGCTGCTTCAAAATAGTGGAAGCCTATCATTGTTTTAATTTCTGTCAAACTATTAGCTTAAGTCTCCAAAATACCACTGATAAATTTGTGCTAAATAAAGATGCCAAGACCTCTAACACCTTTTAATGGAACATCACTTCGAATTCCCTCTGAACTGAAGGTTATTTCTGAAAAAGTTTTAAAAACTGTTTTGTATAAGCAGTTACAATGAATTAAAAATTTTTTGTTGCATAAAGTTGCAAAATGCTCCGGATTAAGGCATACCCTTGTTTGATTTAAGCCTAAATGTTTTCTCATTATCTTCAATAGTCATATCCTCAAGCAAAAGCAAATCTATGATGCAGGCAGCCTTGCAAACACAGCATTGTGACTGTCAGGCTGTGGTGAAGTGATCGCCTTTCAAAGTCACTCTCACTGCTTGTGCCCTCCACCTCCTCTATCTGCTGTAACCTTAGCCCACGGAAAGGTGCCAGGTTACCGGGATTCTCTCTGGTTGGCGCCATACTGTTTAGTGACCATGTGCACAATATGAGAGCTGTGATTAATCCTGCCCTATGTATGTGGGAATCTGCAAATGCAAATACATTTTTGCACAACTCAGCGATATATGTTTTAGAATAACAATGTTTGTTTTTCTTTTACTAATCATGCTTGTGAATTTAAATTAGCCTATAAGAGATGCAATAATTATTTGGCCATTGATTGGAATTCAGCGTTTTTTCGTACCTGGCTCTGAGCTGTTACAACAGGTCAATTACTGAAAAATCTATTTTTATTTTCTATTCTTTAAGTTGATTTGAACTAGTAATTCCTTTCATATTTAGTTTTGATATGCATCAGCTAAGAGCTTGTAGTTTGTGTTTAAAGAAACTGATAAAGGTTAGTAAAGGTTAACATGGTCACGGACTGATGCACAAATAGGGACAAAAACGTTTTTTCTTTTGTATTCAAACTACTTCTAAAAAAATGCACAATTTTATTTTATTTGTATTGTGTTAGAAACCTTAAAAATAAGTTCAAAAATTTAAAATTTTCTTGCAACATGTAAGGCAACACCTGTTTATCAGTAAGTGCCAATAAATTGAAGATTGCAGTTAAAGCTAGAAAATACTACAAATTTATTAAGAGACAGTTTATGGTAACACTAGGCAACAAGGTAACAATGCCCTTTGTCATATTCCAGCAGAAATACTCACCTCTTTTCTCTATTTATTCTGATCTCGGATCCTAAGGCATCGCCTCTTCAGGGCTGGCTCCATCTCCACTGCGGTGGGCATATTAGCAGGACTCCGCAAGCTAACTTTGTCCCTGAGCTTGGGTAAGAGTAATGGGGGTGTGGTCCCACCTGTCTTTGGTACTGTGGGAAGGGCATAAGCGTGGTCCTCATCTGGAACATGGGAATCCTCCCCTACTCCCCCACTTACTGTCAAGGGTCCTTCTAACTGAACAACTGGACTTTCAACCAGCACTCTGCTTACAACAGAACACTTGTTTTCTTTGATAGCTTCAAGTTCACTAAGTGCAGGATCCTGGATTGTTGCTGGTAACTTCTGGGGTACTGAGGTGTCCAAACTTGACGGTTTAGGGGAGGATAATGTACCATTTTGGGGATGGTCCTGGGTAGAGGACTTGGTATTATGTGAATGGCTGCTCTCCATGGGGCTAGATGGACTGTTTGAAGGAGGAGTAAGGGGATCGGGTGTTGGGAAGTCATCAGAAGGTGACTGTGAAAGATTAAGGTTTGGTCTGATGATATTATGGAAGCCTGATCTGTTAAACTGACTAGGTCCAGACTCTACCAGTGCTGTGGGATCCACCATTCCATTGGCATTAGGCTCTAACTTCACTTGGGTCCTCTGGAGAACCCTTTGAATGACTTGGCGCTCTGTCTGCTGATGTATGTTTTTATAGTCTATCAGTCTCTCAGAGGTTTTGGTTGGGCAGGGTAATTCAGTACATTGTGATTTGGGGGAGGGTGTTTTGGTTTGTGGTGTTGTTAACGGAGACAAAAACTGCCTTTCTGATTTAACCCAATCTATGTCCTTTGGGCTGGGTTCAGTTGGTGAGGTCATGCTTTGGGAAATGTTCGCCTCTATTTGTTTTACCTCCACTCTGCTTACATCTTCAGATATTTCAGGAGATGCAGACTTAGTAGTCCTAGATCTACCCCTATCTACACCTTCTGGCACAGGTTGGATAACTCCACCATGATTTGGCATTTCAACAGCGGCTTTAGGAGGGACTGGAATGGGAATTGGAATAGGTATGGGGACAGGTAATGGAACAATAATAGGATAAGGCACCAGGACAGTGGGATGGGGTAAAAGAGGACTAAAAGAGGGGATACCATAGTTCATTATTGGAGGGACTGGGACAGGTCCTCTTGGCATTAAGTTTAGAGGAGGTGAGTGTAATCCAGGGAAATAGGCTCCAGGGAAAGGATGCACAAATCCTGGGGGATTCATTGAAGAAGAGGTGGGGGGCTGCAGAAGAGGAGAATGTGGGGGTCTGTGGATAGGACTGGAAGGGGGACCAACATGTCTGGGGGGATTGGCAAGGGGACTTTTTAGTCCCTGAGCATGAAGAGGGGGTCTGATGAAGGGAATAGGGAGTTGAGGTAATGGCTTTTGATCCAGAGAGGGACGAAGAGGAGGTGGAGGAGGAATAGGAGATGGATGAGATGGGACATCCATAGTAGGTAGGGATGGCTGAATGGATCTCTCCATGTTCTTAAGCCCTGAAACTGTGACCTTTAAAGATGAAGAGGAAGATGATGGTACATCTGAGGATGACACAGATGTAGACTTCAATGGTCCATGGATAAGCGCCGGCCCATTGGGTGAGAGGTTTTGATTGCGTGCTTCCCCTGTAGTGCTGGTGCTGCTGTTCCAGGACTCAGGAGTAAGTAGGTTTTGAGCTGATATGCTGCTGTCTACTCTCACATCCTGGCTGGTTCTGTTTGGACTGGAACTAGTGCTGGTGAGAGCTGCGCGGGCTTCTCGATAGAAAACATCCATCTTGTACTGGTTGAGACATTTGATGCTGCAAAACTGAAGACGCTCCTCACCAGATCCAAAGTCCAGGTACTCTTTTGTGTGGCGAACATGTTTGCACCAGTCACAGACCTGTGGTACAGGTGAGAGAGACTACGGGGGGTCAATTAAATATTTTGCCTTGAACATTTAAAAACTTTCAGAGCAAAGGATGTAGCTGCATTTCTGGTTTTTTTTCCTGCATGTCACACAGAATACCTATCAATAATTTGCAATTAATATTAAAGAAAGCACTAATAATTTCCCCTTACTCTGACATTAGTGTTTATCTTCAACACTAATCTGGGTGAGTCCTCTGGATGGGGGTGCTGAGGGGATGTCTCAACATGGAGGTCTTCATCCCTGGCCTGACAAGGAGAAACAAAGGACATGAAATTCCACTGGAAATAATTATGATCACATTTGCAAAGGCTGCACCGTAATCACTCTAAGGTCAAAACACCATATTTAAGCTTCTTACATCACCTCTTTATGAAGTTGCAATAGGTTTGTGCATAGGACCACAATACAAAGGTCATTTAAAGAGTAACAGTGTCAATCTATTATGCTGGTACATATTCCAGACAATGTATCGTTTAATTTTTCATGCGTGTGACTGTACCGATATAAGGAAATTCCTCCTGATTCATGTAAGGTGATCTACCGAGGATCTGAGTGCTCCCCCATCTCTGTGACCCAAAGAGTCGTGTTGAGTTACGAAACATGAGGCAGCTGAAGGTAAGGTATGCACTGAAAGTGGACACCTCGCCCCAGGCCTTCTGGCCTTCCTCTCAGACAAGCAGCAACACGCCAACAGAAATGCTTTCCCCCCTTGCCTCAAAAAAAAACAACAAAAAACTAAACAGCTTGTTGTAATGACTCTGCTAGCCTTACGTTGTTTATTGGTTTTGTCAAAAAACACTGGAGATGAAACATTATGCATTAATAGATCATTCTCCAATTTAATCTCTTAAGAAAAGGGGGAAAGTGTCTATGTGCAACAGGGTTCTCTAAAGCTCCAGCTCTCTTGTCCTCAGGACCAAAAACACTTAATGACCAGCCCCTTCTGCATTAACTTGAAACTGATACGAAGTCTCCTGTGCAAAGTTTGACCTCCCTCCAACCAGTCCTCAAAAAGATCCTTTAAAATGAACTATTCACTTATGACTTCTAAAGATCAGATAGATATGTTGCAGAAAGTCTGTGATCTGCAAGAACTTATCCAATACTTAATATCCCTGTCCATTTATGCTATGGTACGTATAAAAGATTGTCTGTGATGGCGCTATACATTAATTCATCAGCATGTAGATCTACAGGTTCTTTATGTTCAATACTAACCTTGTTGCGCTTGAAGTAAGCCCGTCTGCAAGCAGCAAAACACTTCTCACTGCAGAAGCTCTTTAGCTCTGAGCCCATACACAGTGAGTAGCGCTTTACCCCCTCCTTCTGGCACCAAACACATACTATTTGCACATTCTGTACATCTTCCACTGCAGAGAGAGAGAGAGAAAAAGCAGAGTAATCATTGCTTAAACTTTGCAAATTTATGTGTGCACACTTTAGTGCAAAAACTGTATCCACACTGCCATAATTCTGCACAGACAGAAGTATAAAGACTGTTTCATTTCCTCAGAGCCTATTGAAAATCTAAATATGTTAGACATGGAGGAGAATCACAGATCATTTACTTAGAACTGGATGTGCTCCAAGGTTTCTGGCGATGTATCCAGCAATGAATTAATTGAAGGTGTCTCTGGCTTGTATTTTATCAAGAGTCCAGGGATCCTGTTACATCTGTGCTTCACCTAATTGTCAGCTGGGATTTATGCAGGTTTGGTGCAGTGAGGAACCACATGGACAGTGATATTATGTTTTGACTAAACTATCTAGCAATCAATGATGAATTCTGACTGTCAGCTTTAACTGAGGTAATTTTCATCAATGTAAGGTGAATACTATAACTCATGTATCCAAAGAATTGGAAAGAGCATATACTCATCTGAGATTCTCCCTCATAGATCTTTCAGGTTAAAACCAAGGTTTTGGATCATATGTGCCTTTAACAGGGACATTATGAGTCACAAGAATTCATAGGGTTTTTGGATCTTTAAATGTGATAAACACAACATCAGTTTAATAATAATCTCTGAATTTAATGTTATTAATCTGCTTTTATGCTAAAATTTATATTGCTTTAACTAAAAAAGAAAATTGCTTCTAATATCTGATAACAAGAAATGGACAAAGAAATTCTCATGACTAGTTATTGAAAAGTCTGAAAATAAAAAGTCAAATCTTTTTTAAATTAGTGAAGGCAACATATTTACTAAGTGCTACCAGGTGATGCTTAAAACAAAACACTAAACATGGAAGGTTCTACTATAGGAAAATACCCAAATTAACTATTTCTTGTAGTAAGAGGTATTTAAAATTAAGAGGAAGTACAGAGATGTAAAAATCTCTATAAAAGGAAACTTTTCGTCATATTCAGGCTGCTACAGCCAGAGTTCAGTGGCTATTGGCTGCAGTTTTATTGTTTTGGTTCTGAATTTTTAAGTAAAAAAGGGTAATCTTCTGCAATTCAAGCCTGCTTTCTTGCATGAAATTTGATTGAATTAGACAATAAACAGTGTGGGAATCCACCACAATAGATTGGAGACTGAGTTATAGCAAAGCTGTTGTGTTTTATTATATTGAGCTGCTGTAAGTCAACATAGCAGATTTTCATCAGGAAAATGACAGCCCTTAAGATAAAAAGTAAACACAGTTAAAACAAGAAAAAAATAAGACATGTTGTACATAAATTGTATTTTAACCAACAAATATCAACTTATATTTCTCTGACTTTAATTGTATTGCCCAGTTGTTTTGCATATTTATACAATATAAACAATATATTGCTATACGTGATAAAGACTCTTATAAATGCAGAAGTGACTTCTGGTGAATCCACTGAGACACTGACTTCTAACCAGAATTGGAAATCTTCCTCATCTTTACCACGCAGCCGGAAACTCAGAAATCTGTCCTTTTTAAAATAGTACATACACCATGCTTAACTACTGATATATGGATAGCCTCCCAAGTGGCATTATTTTCTGAAGGAAATAAACGAAAAAATAAGAAGTGTTTCAAAAGAGGCAAGAGGATGTATTCTTAAGAGCAACATAGAACATAACTATATTTCCTTCAAATGCAGCTCATTAATTTATTCCACCCTCTGCGTAGAACAGAAAGGCAGACTTTGATCTGTGCTTCTTAAAATTTGTATTTTTCTATTTCAATTTTGCTTATTGTTTTCTTATTTTTGTTTCTTCTTTGGTTTTGGTTTCTTACCAACATTTTTTGTTTTTGTTTTTCCAGCTCAAGGAGCCGTCTGTCACCGGATGTCCACTCCTACCTGGGGACATTTTGTTAAATAAGTAAAAGGCAACATTAAGAAATTATTTTGTTGTTTCTTTCAACTTTCCACTTTAGTCTGTAATTGGAACAGGATGGATTCAGACATCATGGAAGACTTTTGGATATCTGAGATTTAAGGTAAGGGTTGCAATTCTCTACAGGGATTTCACACAGAAACTGTTGTTTATTGTTATTAAAGCTAACCAGGTTAATCATGCTAAATTCTTACATTAGATAAAGTATTAAAGTAATATTTTAAAATATAAATCAAAATATTTTTGTGTTTTTCTTGATGAAATCCTCTTTCAGAGCGAATGCTTTGTCGCACATGTAGGAAGTGAAAAATACGGTAATCCACAAATCCTCATATTGCTATAATTTTTACAAAGCATGAAAGGCATTTTTTTATTAGTGCATTTAAATCCTTACTCATGGTTTTGTTGGTATTTCACTAAAAATATCCCATTTGGTGTTAAGGAGCTTAAACCGAGTGATAAGCAGCGTGTAACTGAAGGATAAACACACATGTCATGTAACTGCAGCAGCTCCTTACTTTCTCCAGAGCTTCAGTTACTTCTCAGCAATGAACTGAAACTCATACCTCTTCCATCGCCTACAGATGATCTTACACTCTGGCCTTTCAGCACATAAAGTAAAGATCATGGATTATCAGCTCTGGTGTGCTATGCTTGTAAACCAAAGACATATTTTAATGTGAAGGATTAACAGGGCACATTAGGTTCCTTATTCCTGCAGAAGACCTTTCATACCTGCTGATGGCTTTATGAGAGGGACGATGACAGGGGCATTCTTGTGCTCCTTCGGGGTGGTCAGGATAGAGCATGTTGAAGAAGAGGATTGTGAGGAGGAAGGGATGCTGGAGGGGTCCCTCTCTACACTTTTCATGGCCAAGACTGAGTGGCTGACTTTGGCGTCCAGGCTTTTGGGTTTTGGCAATGAGTTTTCTGTAAGATAGACAGAAAGCTAAGGAATGCAACAGTAATCTGGCTTTGTAAGATAATATATCAACATGAAACCACACTAATGCTTTATGCGACACAATAATAAGTTCTGAGCGAACAACAGGCACATCTGGTTTAATGTAACTTGAGGACATGCAGCCACAGGAGATGATGTCTTGCAGTGACTCAAGGTCTGCATTAAAACCTGCTAAACCTGTTAACGTAGTGCTGCTCTAAACAGTGACCTGTCGCCACCTGTCCCCCCTTACCTTTTAGCACAGACACATGCTGTCGCCTCTCCCTGTAGTTTCTGATCTCATTGGCCTCAGACTCTCGGAGGTCCACCTTGTCATAGCCGTACCAACCCAGGAGCTCATTCATGGTGCTCTCTGCAAATGTCTGCCAGAAATGAAAAGTAACAGGAGTTAGAATTCCACGTAATGTCAAGTCAAGGAATAGGAAATTGTGAATATGCATCTTGGGGTTATTACTGGAAGTTTTCATCCTATGGTAAACATAATCAGAGCTACTCAGTCTGAGAAAGAGAGGGATTCTTTCTCAGTCCTGGTCCTGTTGCGAGAAATGAATAGGGGCATAGTGGAGTACAGTGTGACTCTTTTTCCATGATGTATTCAACTGTTTAGCTTTGCTTAATCTGAGACGGAAAGGTTTATAACCCAACACCAGTGTGAAATCTATGAATCATCCTTTGTTTATTTCTTTTATTAAAACAAGAGACAGGAATATTGTCCTACAAAAATTAGACGTGTGATCTCAGCTTTTTTCTTTATTATTGTGAACAGATGAAAAAATATTGGTTAAAAAAAAAAAGACATACAGGTCTCAGTTTTTATCCACCCACCTCTCTCTGTGGCTTTACCGGAGCCGGATTGGAGAAGAAACCCGATCCGGAACTGGCAGAAATCAGGGCGGGACACCTAACACCACATTGAGGTCCCACGGTTCTCGGAAATGCTCCTCTCCTCTTCTCTTTCTAATTTCCACAACTCCACCTCTCCTACTCCAGCGATTCGCTACCTCTCATTTTGCCTCTTTTAATTTTTTCTTCCTCCCATCATTCGCCCCTGCCCTGTCCTCCCCTCTACATCCCGGCACCTTCCAGGCCTGACACTCGACACGGTGCTGCCTCTCGGGTTTCAGACCCTTTTCCAGCTCAGCCAGTATGCTGTGGTGTTGCAGCGCTTGTAGTACTGACTGCACATTCTTTCCTCGCTCCGACCTCTGCTCCGCAACCCGGGGCCTCCAACAGAAATGGATCTCTCCCTATTTGCCTGCTCACTTTCTAGCTCTGTCTGTTCTGGGAGTGTGTCTGTATGAGTGGGTGAGTGAGTAGAAGCGGCCGTATCACATACCGCTAAATATGCCTAACGATGATTAAAGTCAAGGATCCAATGTCTGGTGCCTGCGAATCAGGCTCTGACGTGGAGGGAGTGGGGTCCGAATGTGGTGTTGAAACAGATGAATTACAAAGAAAACATTGGGAGAGACCTCAGTTGAACTAGAAATCAGTTTCTCTAACTGTTCAAATATATATATATATATATATATATATATATATATATATATATATATATATATATATATATATATATATATATATATATATATATATATATATATATATATATATATATATATATATATATATATATATATGTGTGTAGTGGTGTCACTTTCACTTTTTTTCTTGTATTGAAAACAGAGTTTTCTTTTTCCCCTCCTTCAACTTCCCACAATGTTGTTTTTGTTTCTTTTTGGCAGTTTGGACAAACATCTGCTTTGTGAGAGTGACAAGCCATATCCCAAACCAGAGAGAGAGAGAAAGCTGCAAGCCAAAGGCAACAAACTGGGCCAACCCAGAGATCCAGCCCAGGCATGCTTACATCAGACTGAGAGGGATACTGTTTCAAGTGTTTTGATTAAAATTAGTTAAGATGTAACAATACACCTTCTGTGGATATCAAACGCTGCAATCCAAACCACTTACGCACAAAAACAGCAGGATTTCTCTCTAAAGAAGGCCACTTCCTGCCCTAGGAAGACGTCTTGCCTTTTCTTGCTCAGGCATCAAGGATCCTCAAATATCATTTTAAAAGCACAGTCAAGAGTCTCAAATAGCCAGAGTCCAAACCCAAACAAAGCACACAATCCTGGGATTGGTTTCCATGCAAGGGGCTCATAATGATGGGAGGGAATCGTGTCTGTTACTGTGATTTAACCAAGGACCCTGATGAGAGATTCCTAACGCCTTGTGTATGTGTGGGTGTGTTTGAGGTGCGGGTCACCATGCATGTTTGCATCATTACAATTGTACGACAGCTCTGAAGAGTTTTCCCATTAAAAGGCTGCAGAAGGCTATTTAAGGAGCACGTCTGCCCTCCCCTCTCTCCCCGTCTTTCTCATGAGTCTCTGTGGTGCAGCGATTGAGCGAACCGCAGGGAGCGAGGAAGAAGTGACGCACATCTGGATCTCCTCTGGACATTGGGGAGGACGCGTCCGGCCACAGCTGGCCCACCATAGCGTCACTAGACCAAGTGTCAGCTTATTCCTTTCTTTTAAAGCGAATACTAATATATTTAACAAGAATATATAAAGTTTATTTAAAGTAGGGGTTTTATTTTTGTTAAACATTGTATTTACGTTACATATATATAACCCAAGTAGAACTTAAAATTAGCAAAATTTGAGAAATGATCTGATGATTTTTGGCTTTCAATAAAATAAAAAATAAGAGTGAGCGGTCTGTGTCTAGATTATTCCAAACATTGATTTGTGCGCACTTTGCGCACTGTGCGTAAAAGACGATGCCAGACTTTTCACTCATTCCTACCTTCATCTCCTGGTTGATCTCCCTCTTTACTGGGTGCGCTGGTTTCCTGCTGCGTTTATTTTCTGGAGGTCTGCCTTTCTCCATCTCGGGCATACTGTAGTACCGCTCTGGTTGGATCCAACCCGGATCTGTGACTCGCCTGTCAGCTGAGTGGGAAGTTTTAGTCGCAGAGTCAGAGGTGGAATCCGTCAGTCCAGTTGACAGTGGCTGTCATTCCCCGGACGTCTGCCTTTCTTGTATAGAGCTCCTCTCCATACGAGTCGCACTGAACATGCGTGTGTAGTCCCCTCTTTGGAGGCTCCGCCGTTTAACAAGCCCCTCTCCTCTCTCCACAGCTATCAAGTTGCAACTGATGCACAACACGCACCTTCCTGTTAAAACTTTCAAAATAGACTACTTACGAGAACGACAGGTGAATGCAGTGCACTAAAACGAAAGACTGAAGTTGTATTTTTGTGTCTTTTGAAGAAGAAATGTATCATATTTTATTTAGATCACATTATATTATATTTTAGGGTATTTAATATTTAAATACAGACAACATGCTGCATAAAAACCGATTTAAACTATAGTTTAAGTATTTTAAGTCTAAGATTCAATGTTGTATTTCATTGGGATTTACAAAAACAATGATCATTTCTCATAAAAAAAAAAAAGCTGTGCATCATTTTGAAGTGGAATGAGAATCTTGAATAGTTTTCAATTTGATTACAAATAAATGTCTATAAACTGTGGTTTGCATTTGCTTTCTTATCTCCAGGATAGTTTTACCTGCTGCAGAATTTAGCTGCACCTTTTAATTAATCAGAGCATGCTGATAACTCATTCATAATTCCAGTTCATTTAAGAGCTCCATAGAAGAATCTTTTATTTGTTCCTAAATATCAAGACAATTTTCCCTCTCCCTATTTGACCATTTCCAATTACATTACCCTTCTGACAATGCAGGTCAATGCTTCTTTTGAATGTGCCCATGATATGGAGAAGAAGAGAATAGGCCTTTTCCTTAGCAGCTCCAAGACATTTTGAAATTACTGCCAGTTCACAGACTGACTGGTTAATTGTGTTTTTGAAAACTGACAGCAAAACTTATCTTTTGTCAATTCCGATTAAGCATGAGAGACCTGTAATTCTTATTTGTTCAGCTTATCAATCATCTGTGGTGGTATGAAAGCTTTAATAAAAAGAAGTTAACATGGCTTCACTTGGCTCCCTGAGTTAATACTAACAGCTGCATGTCTTTTATGTACTTCAGTCTAACTCATCCATTTTCAAGTCTTGCCACAAGTTTTCCAGTCAGATTAAGGTCTAAATGTATGCTTATTCATTGCAATAAATTATAAACATCAATCTGAACCATTCCACTGTAGCTTATGTCAAGGTGTCATCCTGCCAAAAAGGTAAACCTCTTTCCTGGTCTTTTGCAATCTCTAAAACATTTTTCTTCTGGATTTTCATCGATCTTTTACTAAACTTGGATGATCACTGGTATCCCAGCTGAAGAAAAGCATTGTTACAGTATGATGCTGTCATGGTTGGGGTGCTATGTTGATGATTAGACACAGGGTGATAATTTTCCAGCACTGAAAGTGTTTGGCTCATAGGCCCAAATCATCAGGAAAAAAAGTATTTCACATTTTTGTTGTCTGGTCTAAAAGGCACAGTGCAAATATGACTGTTTTCAACAGATCTGTGCAGTTTATAACAAATAGTTGTTTGGCTTGGATTCGAGAAATGGTTATCTGCAGCTCAGCTGCCTTTTTAAATAATGCAACTTTTCTCAGCCTGTCAGTTCTTTTAAATATAGCCTGGAATATTATGCTAAATTTCACTCATCCTTTAAACTTCTCCATAACTATATCACTGACCTGCCTGGCATATCTCTTTTCACTGATGTTCTCTAAAAAAGCCCAGAAGCTTTTGGAAAAAAAAGATTTAAACTAAGATTAAATAATACAAAGGCGAATGGGTTTGCTAGATATGTTAACTATAAATGCACCTGGGATTTGATTTGTTTAGGGGGTACCACAATAAACAATAAGAAAAAAATACAGTGTATAAATAAATAAATAAGTTATATAGTATTTTTAAATTGTAAAATAATACAAGGTATGGTGTTTTTGGGCTACTGAGATAACTCAAGACTTCAGAGTTTGCTATATTATCTACTCTTTTTCATAATATAAGAATAATCTTCGGATTTTGTTTAATAATAGAAACAAAAGAAAATTAAAAGAAAAAAAAAACATCCATAATAAAAGGTTCTCTTTTTGATGAACAACATAAAATCTCCTTTCAAAATGACATGATGAAAGCATTTTTTTCTTAAAAACCTAGATTTCTTGTTCTACAGTTGAATACAATAGGTTACTGATGAGATATGAGATAAGGCATCTTTTTACAATCTCAAAAAGCATTAAAAGGCTTTTTGCTCTCCTTGATCTCCGGGTTTTCAATGCAGAGACAGTTACTACATTTTTTATTATATTGTTTCTTCATTTGTTTGACACCTGCATGTAAACATGCATTGATAACTAGCAAAGATAGGTGCCTCTCACCAACATGCCTAACCCACCCGCCGCTTTTATTATGAAAGGCGGCTCATTTGACTGCCGGCTCCATCAGTCCATGGCCCTCTGATTTGATGTAACCCAACACCTGGCGCCCACCCCTCCTAAATCTCAACAGATACATTTCATAAGGAATGCAAAGACTGTGTTTTATCTGAGGGGACACAGTGCAAACACTGTCTGTCTGAACGCTCTTGTCTTAAAATAAAGAGATGAAAAGGGGCCTGTGAGTTAAATGATATCCATGGCACAGGGTTCGGAGCTTTCTCAGATGGCATTTGTTTGATCAGGGCTCTGTGTGTTGAACCAGTGTGTACACACTACACTAAACACATCTGAAAGGTCCACAACTGGCTCAAGTCAAGCAGCCTTGAGGACACATGCCTCAGGCCAGAGTTTAAACAGCCAGGAAGGTGTGTTCCCCTGTCTCTGTGTGCAAACTGAGGCTTTCAGCATAAACATTACTTGTTCGGTTATTCTTAAAGCAAGGCCAGTGAATTTATTACTGTATCATGTTTAAACACAGCTGATGACACTCAAGGGACATTTCAATGGGTTAGAAAAGTTCAACTGTTACACCAAAAGCCCTCATCTTGCAATACTTCCAGCAGATCGCTAAACCTCATGCACAGAAACAGACAGGTAAACAATTGCAGGACAGCAATCCCTTTTTCTCCCTGCCTCTCTCCTGCCTCTCTGTGTCTGCTGTGCTTGGAGAAGTCCAGAGACCACGCTCGTATAAACAGAAACCTGATCCACTGCTGAGGGCTTCGGTTTCGCCCCCTCGTAGACCCACTGGTGATACTTGATCCAACCCGGCTTTGGGAACAGGGCTTATCTGATGCCTCACAAAAGGCCCCTCTCTCCAAGCTCTCCATAACAGCGCACATCTGGTACCTCTGCAGGGAGCGCTGTCCCCTAGGCTTCCTCTGGGGCTGAAGACTAGAAATGGAGAAGTCTCAATGT